CTGACTTCTTTTAGGCTTTATCGACATGCAGACTTGCACTGGCTTAACTAAAGGTTTGTTTTAAAAGCAGCTTAGTTAAGCTGGTGCAAGGTTGTGTGTAGACGCTCTTCGTTCGGTTTAAGAATAACTTCTTTTTGTTTAGCTTAATTTTTTAATTGCACCCCATGAATTAGTAGAGTGTTTTTTTAGCATTATTGATGCGATGCTGGCAACTAGTTAAGGTACTTAATGTTCACTTACCTTAGTGACAGCTCATAGAAATTAACCAAAGTTTGACTGAGGATTTTTTTTATCTGAACATCAGATAACTGAAACTCTTGATTATTGGAAGGTCAGATTCATTATCCCAAGATTTGACTTCACATAACCACTTTCTGTACTGCAGTCATGTTCCAGGAAATAAAGACTTCAATGCACAACCAGGGGAGCTGGCCCAGCAAACACTTTCTGCAGTCAGAGGACTTTCCCAGGTCAGAAGACTTTGAACACGATCTTAAGTCTGCTGGCCAGTTCCCCTCGCATAGCTTCCTACCCATATCAGGATGTGAGCACATATGATTTTATATGCTGTTAGACTTCATCCATAGAGTCTTATCTGCTGATGTTCTGCTGAGCCAACCAGCCCTGGGAGAACAGAATGTTTATAAGAATGTGAACCAGATAACCGAGTTTCTGTTGTTAAAAAGTCCGGATACCGGTGTATAATGTGTATTCTCAAAGTGAAGCATTCAGGTCTACTCCTGAGCAGATTTTTGTGTGTGAAAGTATTTTTGCATTAAAGAATAATCTGTTCCTGCAGCTCATTTCCTTTGGAAGTGTAGCCTCACTTGTGACATCATCATTGGTAGCTATGGAAATAATTATACTGTATGATATAGAGTATTATGATATCAGATGGGGAATAAGCAACAAGAACAGATGAACTGTTAAGGAATAGAGAGGTTCTTTGTTGATGTAGTCAGTAATCAAAAAATGGATCATTATAGAATTGAGCAGCAAGTCTGACATACTGGATAAATTGCAGAAATGCTTTTCAAAGTTTTCCACGAGGCACTAGTAGTGGGTCAATCTTGCAATCCTTACACAGGTAATCAGTTGACATGAGTAAGAGTTTTGACTGTATCAGAAGTAATGGATTTGCTGCGTCAAATGCTCATATTTGAGGGAAGAGGGAAACATCTCAGGGTTTCTAAATGCCAACAAGAAATGTGAAAAAAAATCCTTAATAGCCAATTTTTTTGTGGGATTTGCTCAAGAACAATACTTTTTTTTTTCTATGCTGACCTGGTGTAAATGGGCAAAGCTCCATTTAAGTCAATGGAGTTATCTCCTTTTACGCCAGCTGAGAATCAGGTCAACAGTTCCCAGCCCTGTGCACATTTCTGGAAGATATAGATTGTAAACTCCTCAGGGCAGGGATTGTGTCTACCTGTGTGTTTGCAGAGTGCTTAGCTCAGTGGCGCTCCAAATCTGTCTGAAAGTGCAATTTTAATATAAATATTAAAAATAATGACAATAGAGAGGTTCAAAAGTGAGTTGAGGGAGAAGTTTAGTTCTGGAGAGAAATTAGCAAGAACATAAGAATGGCCATACTAGGTCAGACCAAAGGTCCATCTAGCCCAGTATCCTGTCTTCCAGCAGTGGCCAATGCCAGTTGCCCCAGAAGGAATGAACAGAACAGGTAATCGTCAAGTGATCCATCCTCTGTCATCCATTCCCAGCTTCAGACAAACAGAGGCTAGGAACACTATCCCCACCCATCCTGGCTAATAGCTATTGAACATAAGAAGGATGAAGCTAGCAATGAGGTTGTTTTATAAGGAAAAGTAAATAAAGAAGAGAAAGGGGCCAAGAACAGAGGTTTGAGAAACTTCATGACAGAGTATGTAAAAGGGGGTAGATGTAAATCCTCCACCAGAAAATTTGTTAGGGAGTTGCCAGAGAGCAAAGTGCAAGAGACATTAACTCCTTGTCTTCTGCTACATTGGCAATATAAGAAATAATAATCTATGCCTGTCGTATTGAAAATGACAACACTGATAGGTGTTGTCATGGCAGGGAACAATATATTTTATTTCAAGATTCTAAGGTATTGTAAATATGCTCAACAGAACTCTTTTAACTTAAAAAAATATGGTGGAACTTTTGGTTAAAGGTGGATTCTATATTCTGGAAATCTTAATTTGTCCAACTATTCCTACATTGTTAACTATACACTTTGTACCTGCATGTCACCCAATAGCCATCTGTAAACTGAATTTAGGTTTGGAAACTGCTGTTCTCATACATTTCCTGTTTTTCTCAAGTCTGCTGTATGTACATTGTGGGCAAATGTTTCTTGAATAGCAGTGTAAACATTGTAAATAAATTTACATGTAGTATATGTCAGTTTATTAATTCCTCTATCTAATATGTGGCCACATACTATGTTTATATGAAAATAATTCATTTCTGTACTCATCACCAATACAACTATTATGCTTTATAATATTTTATGGCAATTCAGGATAGTTTTATCAGAGGAAGAGATCTATAAAGCCTTTACTTCTTTGTAAGCTGGTGAAGGCAGTCATGGGCTGAAGGAATGTGATGATCCAGCTTACTTAAACTCTTCTATATTGTTTTCTTCTGAAAGAAACTAATCTTCATAAATACATTGTTAAAAATGAACACCACACTATAGAACTATCTCTTCTCCTTTAAATTGTATTCAATGACTTTTCAAAGCTTTCTGCTCTTTCCTCTCTCCCCATTCCCAGGGTTTTCAGTATCCGTAATAGATACCTACCTGTCCTTCCATTTTTCTAAAAATTCCCATCTCAAAGACCTCACAGTCACCATTCATCTGACTGCATAGAAATTTCATGTCCTCAAGAACCACTGAGATCATTCTTAATCATGGGTATATGCGTGTGTGTATGTGGAAGGGGATCACTTCAGAGAGAAACTTTGCCACAAGGGTCAAATAATCTTCCCTGCAGCCATCTTTCCTGATTTTGTTGTTCTTTGCACCTGGGGTGATTTACTAGTAATAAAAGTCCACAAAATTATCTTTGCAGAGTTTTCCAGCAAATTTTTACTAAGGCTGGGAAACAGGTTCCCCTTCACAGAGTGAACAGGGAGTTCTACCCCCCCATACCTATGCAGTCCAGGGATCCTAAAGAGATCATTGCCATCCATGTGGAGGTCACATGGTGTGTCTCCACCAATTTAGTCCTAGAGGACCCATTAAAGCAACACCAGGGTGAATTCCCGGCCCTGTTGAAGTCAGTGGGAGTCTTGCCATTGACTTCAATGGGGACAAGATTTTACTCCAAGTCTCTTGTCCCAGGACCCCATTTTCTACATCATTCCTGACAGACACCTATTAGTAAGCAGCTTCTTGATGGGAGTTAGACTAGTTTGCCATGCTGCCCAAGGAATTATTTCTCTCTTGCAGTCTCAGTCTGGCTTGAAAAGGGGTTGTCATTATCTTTTCAACCCACTAAAACCTGTTTCTTCGTGATTGGTTAAAGGATGTTCCTGGTAGCCAGAACTGGTGGCTCTGTCTTGCAAGTCTCCAGTGAGAAGAGGGCACTCTCCTTCCTTCCTTCCATCCCAGTTAAGAAATCCTCTAAAAGATTAGACTATTCTCTGTATGTATTTATGCCTGATGTTCTTTGTCTCTAGCACTCAGGAGAGTAAAATTCAACTAGTAGAACTAGTATTAAAGAATCATGCAGAGCTGCAGAGGTTCTTTGTCCTATGAATAACTACTAGCTTTACTTTTATTTGAGGGCTAGCTGCCTCCTGGGCAGAAAGGGCATCATCCTCTGTCCTAGAGATATGCCATACCCTACTCAGTGTTCTCTTCACACATTTCCCAGGTGCTACTCAGTAGAAATGAATGCCTCCCGGGAGAATGCCTGGGAGGTCCTTCGTTCAGTGATGTGAGTCAAGGCTGTTTTAATCCTCTCACCTTTCATCGTGGGTCTTCCATGTGCAGGAGAGCTACAATTAGACAGATCCCATTAGTACCAAATCTGGGGAGACTTGAACAGAAATTAATTGCATGTTACCCCTAAACTTTGCTTCTGTGAGAGTTCCAGCTCCCTGTGATGAAGACTGGACATTTCTAGCATGTGTGTAGTTTATTTAATAGGGTAAAATTAGTCATTTGCTATGGAATTCCCAGCTAATTTGGTGCAGAGGTTGCTCATAGGGTGAGGTGGCAAAAATCCACCTGGGGGGAAAGGATCTATCTACCTGTGTGAAGAAGAGAGGAAGGAGTAACCTATTAGTCTCAGGCACTGTGAGGGTTTTCAGAGGGACACAATGTACAAGTAAGACAAACTTACTTTCAGGTCTGAAAAGGCAGATCCCTGAGAACACCGGATCCTCCTTCATGTGATGGCCCAGCAGGCTCTCAGCAGGAGGCATCACAGCCACCACTGAACGTCACCTGAGCCTGATCATAGGCAAGGTCTGATTGTGTCTCAGAATTGCATATTTTTAAAGTCCAAAATATTTGTGCATTATATGCTGCAGAAAATGAATATAAAGATATTTTAAAAAGCAAATCAAAATGCATCATATTGGGGAAAACCAACTGACTTGCTTGGTGCTGGTTGACAGGCTCTAGCATGGTTCAGTGGTGGGAGTTAAAGCAAGTGCATACTAGGAAAGAGGCAGAGGTTGGAGGAAGTAAGAGATGGGGGATATAGGTGTTCACTCTGCAAATCTGAGTATAAACACAAATTGTAAGGAATATAAGTGTTGCAATGCTCCCTGATGCTCTTTGTGGCGAAGTAAGCATGTAGCACAGGGGCAAAGCTCTCCTCGCTACCCTGTACTGTGGACCTCTTCACCGCACCACATAATTGTGTTATTTTGCATTTGTTCTCACATGCCGAAGTTCTTTTGACACTGTTTGCTATTCATTGCTAGTGCAGATGGATACTTCAGTATTGTTTGCCTTCATCCCAAGAATACAGTTTTACCAAGTGTTTATTTTCTTTAAGAACTGCTTGAGACTCCCTTAATCGAAGAGGAAGTGCAAGAAACAGAGTCATGGGCCAAACCTCTTGTCCACCTTTGGCAGAAAAGAGCACCCGATTTCATTGCTGAAAAAGAATATAATGCAGCTGCAGCCAAAATGGAACCCCATTGTGCCATTTGCACTCTCCTTATGCCCTACTATAAGGTAAGCCGGATTCGAATAATTCAGTAGTTATTTGGAAAGGAGTCTTTAATGTCTCTTTTATAGCTATGCATGACAATAAAATTAAATGATGCAAACACTAATCATTATAGAAGGTTAATTTGTGACATGAAAAGGAAAGGAAAAATTCATTTCTAGCTAAGACTCATTAGTATAGAAAGTGAAGTATTAATCACTACATAAGGGGTAAATGATCCACCAGCCACAGTAAATAAATTTTTCAAGAAGGATTTACTGGCAGGCCTCCTTCTAATTTTCCCCCCACAGCCTGTGAGTAGAAGGTAGAGTAGCCGAGTGGCTTCTTCGTGGCCTTTACTACAGTCCATGGGCTTGCAATAAGCACTGTGCACTCATTCCTTGCAGGGGAGACAGATTTGAAGATAGTAGAACCATGTAGTTGTAGATCCACTAGTCACTTCCTTCCTTCCCCAAAATTTCTTTCTGCATTACGGTGGAAAGAAAGTTATTCAAGGGAGGACAGAGTCTTACTGTTTGGCCTTTTCCTGGTCTGCAGTCTGCAGCACTGCAGAACCCCTGTGGTTTAATGGTACTTGGGCCTTTTGGACAGCAACATTTCACCCAGAGAAAACATCTAATCTACAGTACTGTTTGATATATGTTTGTGGAAATACCAATATTGAATGTCAGGTGAAAATTCTGACATAGAATCATCGAGTTTCAGATCAGAAGGGACCACCAAATCATTTAGTCTGACTTTTGTGATATCACACTGACGACCAGACTGTTGTCATAATAAACTCCTTAATATGAACAGGACATAGGTACAGAAATGAGATAACAAACTTTCTACTACTCTGTGTAGCTTCAGCCTGCAACTGCCTTATGCTGGGCTTCTTTGTGACTGCCCCCAGCAGGAAGTGTGTCCCAGCAAACTAAAGACTGTATCTATAGTATACAGGAAGTTTGGCATCTCTACACTTCCTGGAGGACTTACTGTACAGCACATCTTCCCATTTTTAGATCCCTTTTTGAAATTTCCTGCCTGAACTAAAACACTGTTAAATTAAACTATCAAACTATTACAAATTCACTAACTGACCTAACTCTTCAGGTTGCTAAACACAACCTTAACATGTCTCAATCAGTCTCTTGGGACATTTCAGCAATCTTTCCAATCTGCTGTGTTGCAAACCCTCTTTGGTCAAATCCTTCTCTAAGGTTCTGCCTCATTATCAATAACAGGGTCAGTTTGGGAATGGTTTTCAACTTGTATGTCTGCTCTCACTTCACTTGTCTCAGCCAAGTTGTCAGGTATATTGAGCAGATGCTTATTCCTTCATGAGGTTGTGCTTTCATCTGAGGTCACTGAGTCCAGAGCGAAGTAACTCCTCTTTGATCATTGTAGCTTCGACTTGTCAAATTCTTACTACTTTGTTTTTGTCTTTTGTCTTTGTTTTTAACAATGGAAGACGTCTTGCTCCTTTATCATACTATTTTATCTGATTGTACTTTCCTAGTCTTTTTTTCTCACTATCACAGGCTCTTTCGTCATCCTTCATTTGTATCCATATTTGGTAATAGAATATTTATACATCTGCTCTAAAGGAGTTCAGTAGGTGACTTTCCACATTGTGGTGATGTAGCTCTGTAACTGGAGTAGTGATAGAAATGGATCTTCTCTTGCATCCACTTTTTTTCTGCACGTTCTTCACTATACATACTCCACATTAAGATAATTAATTGGCTTGAGGGTATATGGGACTTAATGTCTCATGCCGAAAGTCGTACATTTTAGCAAAGTCCAGGAATTCCCTGTTCTTGAATTGTAGTCCATGATCAGTTATTACTATTCTCAGAATAACATGCCAAGCAAATACAGATTTAATGTGCCTGACAACAGTTGCAGATGTGGTATCTTCAAGTTTGACTACTTCTGAGAAATTGGTTATAACCAGGTGATCATGTCTTCCCCAGTTTAACACATCAATTCCAACTTTGTCCCATGGAATTGCAAGTGATTAATTTTGCTGGATTCTTTCTGCTGGGAATTTTTGTATTTCTGATGTTGCACACCTGTCCCATCATTTCTTCGATGTCATTATTAATCTGTGGCCAGAATACAACTTCTCTAGCTCTTCTTTTTGATTTGGTCATTCCCAGGTACCCTTCATGTATTCAATCCAATATTTTCCTTATCACTATTGGAACTGTGATTTGTGTTCCCTTCAAGAGCATTCCTGCAATCACTGAAAGCTGTTTTATAGCGGGACTAGGCAGGTGGGAAGTTTGGATTTTTTTCCCTCTTTTACTTATTGCTTGTATCATTGCTTGCAACATTTCATCTTTAGCTGTTGCTGTCTCCAGTTCATCCCATATGCCTGGAGATACAGCATGTGACACTTACCATGTTCACAGGTATGTTTACTGCTTGTTCCAGGTCATCAAGCTGTGTATTGACACCTGAAGCATAAGTTCTTGATAGTGTGTCTGCCATTACTAAATGGCATCCAGGTTGAAACACCTCATACTTTTGTATTTTCGAAAGTAGTCACTATATCCAGGGTGGTGCTTCTCCAAATCCCTTTTTGTGTATTTCAATCAGTGGTTTTGATCAGTTTATGCTTTGAAGCTACAACCATAGAGAAAGTTGTGAAATCTTGTACATCCATACACCAGACCTCATATCTTTTTTCAGTTTATGCATACATCTTCTCTATGGCATATAAGAGTGGCAACCAATCATAATCCGTTCCATAACACTGGTCTAGTACTGCTCCCAGCCCTCCTTTCAAAGTATGTGTGCAGAGCTTGATGTCCTTCAATGAGTCAAAGAACTGCAGCACTGGAGGTTATATCAGAACCTGCTTTAAATAATTTAATTCCCTTTTATGCTCTGGCATCCATGCCCATTTGGTGACCTGGTGGAGCACAAGTCTTAGGTGAGTTGTGCAAGCTGTATAGTTAGATATGAACTTGCTGAAATAATTCAACATGCCTAGCAGTCTTTGAATTCCCTTTTTATCTTCAGGTTTCAGCATGTTCAATATTGCCTGAACCTTTGATTCATTGGGCAAGATTCCCTTCGAGGTCAGTCTCTTTCCCAACTATGTTGTTTTTGTTGTTTGAAATTGACATTTGGCTGTATTCAGTTTAATGTTATTAGCTCTCACAGTTTCCAGTACTCTCCTCGATTATTCCTGATGGTCAGTGGCAGTGCTGCCCCAAATTATTAGTTCATCCACAAACACTTTCATATGTGCTACACCCTTTAGGATCTGGCTCATTGTATTGTGAAATATTTTTGGAGCTGAACGTGTTCCGAAAGGCAGTGTGAAGAAGTAGCATCTGTCAAAATGGTCTGTTCGAAGTCAGATCTTGGAGCTCTCAGTGTCCCAGGGCATCTGCCAAAATCCAGTGATACATTTAATTTGTTGAAGAATTTGGTTCCTACCACCTGACAGCAGTTCTCTTCTTGTGAGCAAGTGGAAGTGTTCTCTGGTTTTGTTCAGCTCCTTAGAGTCCATATACAGCCAAAGTCCCCTCCTTTTTTTTTCTCTACAGTTACTAAGGAGTGAACCCAATCTATCAGTTCTTTTATTCTCTGAAGGATACTATTTGCTGTCATGTTTTGAAGCTCTTAAGGCTTGTGGAACTTTTCGTGTAGTGTGTACCACAGGTTCTTCATCTATTAACTGTATCTTGCATGTTACTGAAAAGCACTCATTTCCTGTGAATACGTCTTTACATGATTCTATTAATACTTTCATATCTGAGTCTAGGTTGTTGTTCTGTCTCTCTGTCATACATCCTTTTATGAGACCAAGCGTCTCACACCTGTGTAGGTCCAAGACTGGTTGTTTGCCTCTGCCACAATCTCCTGTCCATAAACTCTTTTTTTTTTTATTGTATTCGCTTTGTATTTAGGTGTCAGCATGCACTCTCCTGTCACCGAAATTGTTCCCCCATTATAGTCTTTCACAGACACTTTCTACTCCTCCACAGTTGTGTTCCTTCCATCTCTCTCTTTCAGTGTTTGTTATTACATTACTTGTACCCCAGTGTCTATATTGTATGTCACATAAGTGCCATTTGTGCATGTCAAAAGGTGGCTCCTCCTCAAGTGCCATCTTATAGCAGGTTGCAACAAAAGTTCCAAAATGTAGTCTGTTTATCACCCAGTCATTAAAAACCCATTCCATTTTGTCCCTTGACATGCCACATACCATACGACGGAACCTTTTGCCACACCTGGACTCTTTGTCAGTCCTCTTCCATCCCTCGTTGCCAGGACGGCCACCCCGGCCCTTCCAGCTGGAGTGCAACCCTGCTTTTCCTAAGTGAGAATCCCCACAGCCTCTCTGCTGGGAGATTATCCTTGCCAGGGGAGCACCCCTCACTCCCCCTGGTCCATTTGCCATCTCACTGTTCCCCTGGGTCCAGCTCTCTGGTGCAGAGACATCAGTGGATCCAGCTCTCAATGGTGGAGACGTCTGCAGATAACTTCTGCCAATATTCCCCGGCCTTCAGCTTTCTCTGGTTCTTGGCTTCGGCTCTCTGGCTTAGAGCCAGCAGGCACCTCCCTCTTTTGCTCCTCTTACCTTCAGCCCTCTCCAGGCTCATAGACTCATAGACTTTAAGGTCAGAAGGGACCATTATGATCATCTAGTCTGACCTCCCGCATGATGCAGGCCACAAAAGCTGACCCACCCACTCCTGGAATAATTCTCTGGCCCTGGCTCTGGGAGCTCAGCCAGCAAACCCCTCTTGCTGCTCTTCTTGCCTTCAGCATTGCCCCCAAAAACATCATCTTCCTTTGACAGCTCTCATTTCATGCAGATTTCCTCCTTCCAGGCAACCCTGACTCATCAGATCTCTTTCACTGTGTTTCTCTGGTCCTTTATAACTCCCAGGCGCTGCTCCGCCCTCTTAATTGGCCAAATGAGAGCATCTTTACTGGCTTGGGGAGGTGGCCCGACTTCATTTACTGGGGCCAGCCACCCAGTGACAGTGCACATTTTAATTAAACAGTCTGTTGCATTTTCATATTCCTTCTTCTCTTTAAGAACAGCTCTTCCTCTTTGTTTGAAGAATCCATTTTTGCACTCAGTACATGAAACCTGCATTTTCTCCGCGCATTTTAGCGTAATGGTTGGATTTATTACGGTTTCCACATATTTGCCCGAAGGCTGGGCGTTTACTATACTCTTGTTGATTGCCACATCACTGACTTGTTTCCTGCTTTCCATTTTCCTGTCACTGGTCAGTTTAATTTCTGTGAACTTTCCCCTGGCTGGCTTAATTATAGTACTGAGTCATGTGCTCTGTGCCTTTCTCTAGGCTTTTTATTTCTGTTTCTGTTTGTTCCGCTGCTTGGCATATACATATTTCCCTTTCTAGTGTCATATCCATCTCCCTTAGTAACTGTTCACAGATTCTTTATTGTTACACCCCAGGACAATCTGGTCTTTAATGAATCTTTTAATATTCCATACTCACAGGACTGACTTTTTAGTTTTAAGTCTGTGACAAACTCCTCTATTGTGTTCTCATCCTAAATACATCTCTCTCATAAGTAACATTTTTAGAGCCACAATGATCTTCAAACAATTTAGTTATTTCTGAACATTTCTTCTCTTTCCCCACACCATCCGTATGGAATGCACTGTATACATCTAGGGCTCCTGTGCCTGGCACTGTTAATCTTTTGCTCATCCTCCAGTTTATTTGTCCCAGTGGCTTTCATATGCAGCTCAACTTGCTGCTTGAATGTTTTCCAGGCATATTCAGCATTTCCCTTGATTCTCAGTGCTGGTGTGGGGGAGTTGTGTGCAGTTGCACAGACTATATAGCAGCCACTGGGTCTCATTGAGTTATGCTGTGCCGTCCACTCCTGGTACCATGGATTATCTCACTGCCAAGGAAATCGGTGTCACAATAAACCCTTTATTATGAACAGGAGTATGCACAGCAATGAGGTAACAAACTTCCCATTATTCTGGAGCTGCAGCCCACAGCTTCTGCTTCTACAGTGTGCAGGAAGTACAACCTCCCTACACTTCCTGGAGGACTTACTCTACAGCACACCCTCCTGTCTATCACAGGCCGCTAACACCGCCCCGCCACCTCCACACAGAGTGCACATTTGCTCTGTCACACCCAATGCTTGCAACTTGATACAATATTAAAGCTGAATCTTGCCCATCAAAATATTTTTAAAATAACGTGCTTGGGATGGGACACACATAAGTGCAGTATGTCTCTTCATATTTAAGACAATAATTCATACACGGTTTTAGTCCTGGCTTGGAGATCACTGCTTTGGTACCCTTTCCAAATGAAGTGAAATTGTCTTTAAAGAATGAGGCATCGGGCAGAAGCAAAGGATTTTATTGACTCCTGTGTTTGTTTTTAACTATTGCGTTTTCGTAAATGAATGGATCCAATGTAAAAGTGAGACATACAGTACCAAGTACAAATCATGCTAATCTGAGCACAATAACAAGAAAAATAGTGTTTGCTATCATCTCAGCCATTCCCACTTCTAGCAGAGCTGCCAGCAAAAAATAATGATGTTTACAGCTGTGTAGCATAGCAAATATAAAAACTTTCATTAGTCAGGCCATTCTTAGCATTTTTGTGAAATAATTTCATTTTGAAAGAAGTAAGCACAGTAGAAAATAGCAGTAGTTTAGTAGTTTGACAAGCTCTAGAAAGCTGCAGATGTTGGCTGGACAGCAGATTGACCTATAGTATAGAGAGCAGTGGTGCTCAAACTTTTTCAGTCACACCCACCCCTTACCAGTAACAAAGGCTGTCCGTGCCCCCCACCACTACTGCATAGCCAAGGCATTCTCAGCAGTGGAACTTGGGCTGAAGGCGGAGCTGGGGATGGGACAGGAGCTGGAGCTAGGGGCGGAGTTGGTCTGGGGGCAGAGAGGAGATAAGGGCAGAGCCAAGCTAGGGATGGAGCAGGGGTTAGAGTGAAGCTGGGGGCGGAGCTGGTCTGAGGGTACACAGGGAGTGAGGGCAGAGCCGGGCTGGGGGTGGAGCAGGATTAGGAGCTGAATGGGGCTGAGGGAGGAGCGAGGCTGGGGTCTGAGCTGGTCTGGGGGAAGAGCAGGGCTGGGAAAGTGTGGCACTCCCTCCCTCCGCTCATGGGGCTGGCCCCAGTGCATGCCCCCTTCCTCCCCCGCAAACGTTCCTCTGTGCCACCTCTAAGGCGGCGCACTCCACAGTTTGAGGACCACTGGTGCAGAGGGGAAAGGTCTGTTGACTTAGGTATGGCAAGCCTTTCCTAGCCCAGAAACCCTACAGTTCAGTGTCTGGGAACTGTAGAGCTTCTCATGAGACGAGAGCTCAGCACCTCAGATGCTCCCCAGAACTATATATACTAGACCTGAGCCATCACTCCCACCGACACTGCACAGGCTATAGAAGTTCTGGAAGCCCTTGAACTGGAGTAATTCCTTTGTGGGAGCACTGGTCAAAAGAGGGGTAAAATAGTCCCTGTACCACATGGGAGTCAGGGAGTAGCTGTAGCAGTGGGGTGGTAATTTTGGTTTCCCCATGCTGCTGGCCAGGTGACTCCCCACTGTATCTTCCTGCTGCCAGTGAGGGAGCTCCTGCCCGGGGACAGTTAATGGTAAGACTCCCTTCTTTCCCAGCTGCGGGTTGTATGTGGCAAAGGAAGGAATACTCAGACATACATTGCTACTTTATATCGGGCTTTGCAGAAAGAGGCTGCTTTGTTGAATTATCCTACTTGGTTGACAGGAAAAGAACCCGCTACAGTCATATTAACAGGGCACACTAACCTACTCCTGGAGTTTGAGGTGCAGTAGCGTCATAGTTGAATATGAGCTGGATCGGGCCCAGGGGACTCAAAATTGTAGTCATAGCAATGGTACAATAAAGTGAGCACAGTTGTAGCAGCACTAACTTTTAGACTGCTGGAGTGCTATTTTTAATCTAAGACCTACCAAAATAATCAAGTAACTAAAGAAAATGGTGGTGACGGATGCTTTGGAAGCAGCTAATTTTCTTTTGAAACTATTAAACCACTAGTGTAAGAACTGAAGGGGAAAAGTGTGTACATCCAAGTCAAAATAACAAATAAATAAGCCTTTTTGTGTCTTTTAGTTAAATATAAATATTGTGTATTTCCAGCCAGACAACCATAATGAAGAAAATTATGCTTGCTGGGAAACAAAATCAGATGAAACATTTACGGCTGGTGAAAAGACTAAACCACTTATTCCAGAGATGTGTTTTATTTATAGCGAAGAAAACACTGAAAACTATCCATCAAATGCCTTTATTGAAGAGGATGGAACAAGTCTTCTAATATCCTGTGCAAAGTGTTGTGTACAGGTTCATGCAAGTAAATAAACTAATCACTCAATTTAAAGAAGTTGTGATTTACAATTTTGCCTTATTTGCTTTATTATGGTTTTTGAGTAGCAAGCGACATATACTGAGTCTATTCAGAACAGTTTTATATGTAGTCTTCAGAATTGTTAGGGTAAAACTTTATATCAGAACATCAAATATTCCGGGAATTGTTAACTTCGTCTGTGAAAACAGCAAATAATTGGAACCCTGTAAATATTTGTTAACATCATTATGGAACAGACCAAAAATTTATATATACAATTTTCAGTCTCATCTGCTGGAATCAATCAAACTTAGCATAATAAAATACCTGTGCAACCATATCACCTTCTGCTGTGATCCCACTAGATTTCAAAAGTCAGGGCCAGGTCAGTACTTAGATGGGAGACCTCCAAGGAATACTTTCATTATTAAATAGATGGTGCCTTCCTTCTAAGTCAGTATTGAACCAATGGCCCAGCATAAAAATAGGGGAAGCTGTGATGCTAGAGGTGCCATCTTTCAGTTGAGAAGTGAAACCAAGGTCCTTGACCACTTGTGATCAATAATTGTCCCACAGCACTTTAATTAACTATACGGGCATTAGCCCCAGTGTCCTGGTCGGGGGTATCAGCCCCAGTGCCCAGTCTTTCTCCAATTACTAATGTGTGCCTACCTGCAATTCCTGTATCTGTTCCTTTCTGTAAAATTCACCCTGAACTTTTGTTAGAATAACATGTTCTCTTCCTAGTCTAAACTGTTGTGTAGTGTTGTGTTGCCCTGTTAAATAATTAGAGTGAAGCCCTGGCCCCACTGAAGTCAATGAAAGTTTTGCTATTAACTTCAGTGGGGCCATAATTTCACCCCAATATATTTTTCCCCTTTTCAGAAGTGTCAGGTGGAGTGACTTCCTACAGTACCTCAGAGAGGTGCTGGGACTTAATTAGTTAACGTTCGTATAGCACACTATGATCCTCATATGTAAGTGCCATATAGTTGGAAAGATTTAGTGTTACTTCATTTATCGGATTCTTAATTTTTATCATATGGAAAAATATCATATGGACTAGAAAAAACTAATAAAATGGAAGGTTCTCAGAGTTGAGAACTAGATGAATTGCTACCTGTGTCCCCTATAAGTTGATTATGCAGTAGCATTAGACTTAACCTGGGAAGGGGCTCATTAGTTAGTCATTTTGATCACAAGGCATATGTTACTTTAGTGTTTGTATACAGCTGAATTGTGTGGAGCTATAGACACCCAGAAGGGCAGAATATATTAATCAACCCAGCTCTCTTATTCTAGGTTGTTATGGTGTTCCTTCTCATGAAATCCATGATGGATGGCTGTGTTCTCGGTGCAAAAAAGGAGCCTGGACAGCTGTAAGTTGCATAGTTTATTTAGTTATCCTATTCCCTGCAGACCAACAAAAAAAAAGTACACAAGGTGTTGTATCTGGAACACAGTATATAGGGCTGAGTTCTTCTAAATACACCATTTATTGCTGGTGACGTGTTTTTTTTCTTTTACCAATATTATTAGATTTAAATGTAAAATTTCACTGTTTTGAGAGAGAGAGTAAATTTCACTGTTTTGAGAGAGAGAGAGCCTTGAAAGAATTTTACATTGTCAAGAAAATTGCTAGCAAGTAGATTATGTTGTTTGTAGAATATTGTCCAAGAAAGCAACCCAAACTTTGACTATACATCAGAGGGAAAAGAAGAAATGAAATATACTCTAAATAGTTTAGTCCTAGAGAATGTATGCATGGGAATCTGGGGAGAGCAGAGGAAGGGAAAGCTGAATAATAAATTATCAGCAAGTATGAAATTGTTCTTTTAGAGCATTTATGGGTTTACACCAGCAGACAGTCATAAAATATTTCACATGTCAAACCATATATGCATATTGTATGATCAAAAAAGAAAATAACACGGGGACAAAATGTTATTGGAAATAGATGGATCCTGTCCTTTCAGGAAAATTGCATGTTTCCATAATCTTTTTTTTTTCAGTAATACTTTTCGATAAAGTGTAAACAATAATAAATTTGGTTAAGAAGATAGGTTATTTAAAATAATTAAAACTTGTACAGAATGTTAACATTTTCCCCCAGGGATCAAGCAGATCTCTGACCTGAATAATTTGCATTAACTCAAACAATGGGATTCAAAAGGAGGTTTTATAACCCATGTCTCCAGTATAGGCTCATAGGATATTTCTCAATGTCTGCTCCTATTTTTCATAGTAACTGATGGAAGAAATGTAGTGTTCACTATTAAAAAGTTAGCAATTACTATGCCATGCTGTCAAAACTCTGCACTCAGAATATGCTATAGTTGCAGGATTTCTGATGCCCTTAATGGCAACTTTGGGTAAATGCTGACTTTTTAGCAACAACCACTCTACTACTAGGGAATGGCCATTTATTTTTTCATTTAGCCATCTTATGTCTAGAATTTAGCCAATCTGCCTTCCCCCAACAAACTTCTGTTACATTTTATGGCAGTTGTGTTCTCTGGGAAAGCATTTCATTTCATCATCCAGTTAAGAAATGCAAAGCTATAGGTGACAAAATTGATTAATGAACACCACCCTCCTGATTTAATGTGGTATAATCATTTCATCATTACTTACTAAATGTGATTTATATGAATCTAATGGATGGGATAACTGAGTTGTAAAGCTATCTATTAAGCACGCACTATCCTTGATAAAGAAATATTGGCCACTTTAGGCAGTAGAAAATGAAAGGCCAAACTTTGCAGATTGGCTGTCTAAACTGAGCCTGGGAAATTTGCACATGTACCTATTGCACAAACAAACAAACATTCCAAGTAGGTCACTACATACACACAAAAAGCACTAATGCAGATTTTATTTTTGCATATTCAGTGAGTGTCCACAGTGTAGATGTTACCAACTGACCATGAATTCCCCAGGTTTAAATAGGGATCCATCTAAAAAAGGGACATTAAGAGCATGCTTGAGGCCTGGAGGCAGTGTGGTTTGGAAAAGGGAGCACTGGACAGGGACGCAAGATACTAGGGTTCTATTCCCAGCTCTGGCCTGCTGGGTGACCTTGGGCAGGTCACGGCCCTTCTCTGTGCCTCAGTTTTTCTATTTGTAAAGTGCTTTGAGATCTACTGGTGAAGAGCAAAGTAGTAGTATTATTATGGCAATGCCTCAACAAGAAATGCATTACTGTGTCATTGTTCAAATAACTCCTTGTCTTGACACCTAGTGGAGATATTATCCCTGGATCATTTCTCTTAGAGACTCTTTTCCCCCCCCCAGTACATCCTGCCATGCTGGTTGGGGTTAGTTGGGACACTGCAGTTGTATGTGCTCGTGTATTAACTCAATGTAGGGCTAGAGTTAAGGCATTTTCAGTAGCAAGCCCCACACTGCGAAATTAACTCCTGGTGCAGTTCTGTCAGAACACAAATCCTATTTTAGGGTGCGATGCGAGATACATCTCTAAGTTCAGGCTTTCTCCTGGTAATGCATATTGGATTCCCTAAGGCAGCTAGTCATCTCTCATCTGACTTCTGTTAAGAAAACGTAGTCATGTGCCTTAGAAATGTGAGTAATAAGAATCGGGGTGAAATTTCCAGATACTTTGAAGAAGACACAAGTGTCCACCCTACTGGAAAATGTGACATTGCTCACTGAGGTGGGGCAACTCCCTACCCCAGTCAAGAAGGGGTTAAAGAGCTCCTCTCAACTCAGTCAGCTCCAATCCCCTACTCCCATAAGGCCTGTCAGTGCTGGAGGTCCACAAAAGGGAGGATCCTGGCTCAGGCGGGGTGGCATTCAGGCAGTGCACAGAGATCCTGGTCCGAAGGAGCTGTCTACTGGGGAAACTGTTAAGAGCATCACCGCCTGAACCTCCTGAGTAGTAGGTATGGTGTACGTATTGACTAAGCTGAGTGGAACAAGAAGGGAAATAATGTTTTAAAACTGACAGAAATACTTTCTGATTTATAAGGATGTAGTCCAGTGTTTGCTCAGTGCATAGTTATTAAAATGTGTGTACTGAATCAATTTCTATTTCTGTAAAATGTTTTCATGTTTCTCTTTGGCTGGTCAATGGAAACACTTGTTAAATGCTCTTTATCAAACAATCAGGAATTTCAGGACTTTGGAAACTGCTTTTGTAATAGTTTTTCCAGAGTCGTGGGTGGGTGGGGGGAAAGGCAAAAGTCAATCCTTGCAAGTGACAGGGTGCCTTTAACTGAGAATCTAATTATCTGTTAAGTGAACAGGGTTAGACAGCCCGGCTTCTCTGACAAAAAGTTTGTCAATTTCCTTTCAGCAAAGGGACAGCTATGGCATTTCTAAGTGTTGGGGTTGTAGGGCGAACATTCATGAACATTCCCTGAGTGACTGCAATAGGAATGGAAAGCCACATTATGTTCAAAATACTGAGAACCTTCAGAACATTTGCTTGAAGTCTGGTATTAGGGGGGAGGGATAGCTCAGTGGTTTGAGCATTGGCCTGCTAAACCCAGGGTTGTGAGTTCAATCCTTGAGGGGGCCACTTAGGGATCTGGGGCAAATCAGTACTTAGTCCTGCTAGTGAAGGCAGGGGGGGTGGACTCGATGACCTTTCAAGGTCCCTTCCAGTTCTAGGAGATAGGATATCTCCATTAATTTAAAAACAACCTATACCTCTGACTGCTATGTACAGCAAAAACAACACGGCTACCCCCAGATAATATATACAGCAGCGTGACTTAAGGGAAAAAGCAGAGAGTTTACATTTTTTGTATGTAATAAGCATGTTTAATTATCAAAACACAGTGAGTAAAAAGTATAAAAGAATATGAAATCCCATATTTTGTTAGTTTCATGTTGAAGGAAGGCAAGAAGTGAAGGTCCTGAAACAGCTCCAGAGTTGGAGATTATTTAAGAAATGTTCCTATTTAAAAGCACGGGAGTGTCACATAACAGGGTGATAGGTGCAATATAAGAACATAAATAGTTAGATAATATGTGGTATTGTCATTTATTTCATATGAGCGGCAGGTTGAGGAGGAATCTTAGGGCTTAGTAGGAAGTTGAGGAGGTGGAGAAGAGGGGTAGGGTTGGAGAGGTGTCTGGAGGCTGAGGAAAAGAGGGTATTGGAACTGGAGACGAGGAGGCACAAAGGACTTCAGGATTTCTGTTTCTGTGTTTTCAGGAGTACATGAGAATAGTGATGTTTCTAGGAGATTGGAAAGGACTGGGTGGTAAACCAGGGTCCATCTAGTTCACCAGTCTTTTATTTTTCATTTGAAGCCCTGTGTATAATATATTTAAGTGAACTTTTGTAGTTTTAGGTGTGTGTCGATAAAAGTGTTGCAAGATTATTAGTGGTGACAACTTCATATTAATCTAAATACAGTTTGGTGACCTGTGTGAAATGAGGAGTTGGCCTCAGTGCAATTCTTTTTCCAGATTTGTCTACATAACAGAAATCGCTGTCTGAGTGGCACAAGTTGACGTTTTGGTTGGGAGCATCACTGGGGATATCAAAGATTGAATGGACTTATTAACTGCCTTCTCATTTTTAGAAGTGGTCCCTTGGTGCTCTAGAAGCACACTGATAGGATAACTTTTGGAAATATATATTAGTGCTTCCTATTTATTTTAGCTGTTCTATGTTTACCTGGAAAATTTTCAGGGCTATAAATCTGGCATCTTTTGTTAGCGCTAAATTTACTTTAAGTGTTTCCTCTTTAATCTAGCATTCAGTATCCTTTATTACCACATTTAGCTTAGTTATGCCAATACAAACAAATTATTTTATTAGTGTGAGCTATGGGACTTGAGAGAGGATAGATATTGAGGTGAAATCCTGGCCCTGCTGAACTCAGTGGCAAATAGGATTGTCAATTTTGGTTGGATGTATTCCTGGAAGTTGCATCACATGGCAAAATCTTCAATTAAAGATTAATATTTCATTCCTCAGGACTCTAGGACAGTCCTGGAGGGTTGGCAAACCTAAGTGGCAAAACTCCCATTGGCTTGGTTGCGTGATTGAATGGCATTCTTAATTCAGTAAGGGGAAACGTCTGTAATTTTACTTGGAGGGGAAAAAAATTAATACTTATCAATGTCAAACACAACTTTAATAAATTACCGTATTGAAATTTTATTAATATGGAACCACATTGCAGCCATCTACATGGTTCAAAGTTTTGATATTATTTTTGAATCCTATTTGTCATTTTAGGGTCATGTTTACAAAACTGTCTTTTTAATGTCTCTGAAATGATGCTAGAGATTGACACTAACATAAAATCTCATAGTTTGCTAGTTACATTTACTGTGGTTCCCTTTTAACTGATGTGCCTCTTAAAAAGACTGCAGTTAATTAAAATGCTATTGCCGGGGT